TGTTAACTAAGGAGACGATCTTTCCAGACTTTTGCCCACATCCTACATGATTTGCTAATTTTTTTTTTCAGAAAAGTGACCTATTCTTTATACATGTTGTTCAGCAATTCATTTTTTCTCATGCGGCAGAGATTACACACAGGTTCAGTCTTTCAATAGGTGTGTAAGACATTAAGGTTTCCTTTGCGAAGCTTCAGAAAACATTTTTGCATTTCTTTCCTGCACCCTTGTCTGGTGAACTCCCTGATGTGGGAGTACTGGGTTAATTTCAACTGATCAAGCAAAATTCTGTAAGAACTTGTCAACAGATATGGCTACCTGGACCTGCCATTTCCCACAATGGTGTTGCACCAGAGAATCAAGACCTCTTGGGCCTGGTGCAGTAGCTTAACAGCTAAAGTCCTTGCCTTGAACGCACCAGGATCCCATATGGTCATCAGTTTGTGTCTTGATGGTGCCATTTCCCATCCAGCTCCCTGCTCATGGGCTGGGAAAACAGTCGAGAATGGCCCAAAGCCTTGGGACCCTGCACCCATGTGGGAGACCCCAAGAGGCTCCGAACTCCTGGTTCGGATTGGCGCAACTCCAGCCATTGCAGCCAGTTGGAAGATCTTCCTCTCTGTCTCTCCTCCTCTCTGTAGATCTGATGCAATAAAAATAGGTAAATCTTAAAAAAATAAAAAAGAATCAAGACCTTTCGAGTGGAAGAATTCTATAGCTTAGTATGAAGATCAAAGACCCATTCTCAGTTGGTGAGAAGGCAGATATAAGATAGTGAACCTAGGGAATCCACCTCTATGAATGCTCTGTCCACTGTGACACTCCTTGGTCCTCTCTCCGGCTCCCCATAACTACTTTTACCTTCAGTTAGCAACAGCAAGTGGGATAATGGGTCCAGGATCAACACTGAAACAGGTTACCCAGCTGGGCAGAGAGCCAGGCCCTTGGGCTAACAGAGTTCCTGTGCTGGCAGACATGAGCTCCAGTGTTCTTGGTTCAGTATTTTTTAGAAAGTGGTAAAGGTATATTTTAAATCAAATGGGACCCCCCCCCAGATCCCTCCTATTTCTTACTTGAAAAAAAAAAAAAAGGCTGTTCCCTTTGGTTTTTATCTTCACATTTCTAATGAGTGGGCTTGCGCTGGCCTTTTTTCCTTCTTTCAGTTGGCATTTCAAGAGGTTTCCTTCATACCTCGGAGCCTGGGTGTTGAGGTCTTGCCAAACTAAACACACACTTCTCCTTCCCCTGATGATAATCTATACTTAGCTCATTTCGTGGTTTAAGAAATTCCATTTACTTAATATACATGCTGAAGGTGGGTAATTCTCTCTTGTGGAGAATTTTATGTACTCCGTTGGTAGAACTGAGGAAGTATTCCAAATGTATTAGCATATCCGTTTTGGTTTCTTTGGCTTTCCCCATCCTTCAGCGAACTCTTCACCTCCTTGTTCATACGGAGACAACAGAGCCTGGGTCAGTTGCAACCTGCTTCTCCCATAATTCTGGGTCTTGTTAGGTGCTCTGCTTCCTGGATCTTCTGTCTTCCTCTTCATTCAGTAAGTGGATTATAGCAGGAAATAAGCGCATATCTAACTAAGTTTTCCAGTTTGACCATTAAAGGATACAGTTCAGTGACATCCAAGTACATGCATGATATCACCACTATCTTTTTAAATCTCTGCAACTTTATGTTGGTTTAATTGACAAGTCCGCTATCTCTCAAACACCCTCTGAAACTGCTGAGCAGTAACCCCACATCTTACCTTTGTCCCTAGCAGTCTCTGCTTTACTTTCCACGAATGTGTCCAATCTCGATCTTTCATATCTATGGTATCATAGGACTGGCCCTTTTGTGTCTGGCTGGTTTTGCACACTCTTTCTGTATCAGCTGAGATAATCTTGCTTTCTCCCCCATTCTAAGTGAATATGCTACATTACCTTCTGTTGGACACCTTTTCATTCCTGAGACCATGCTGTCTCACATTGACGAACCATGTGCTCTAGTGGCTTCCCGGGGAGACGCACAGGAGGGAAACGTTTGAAACTGAAAATGTTCTGCCTTCACAGCTTGGCTGGGCGGCTCCAACTATGGTTCCACCTTCCTACAGGACTGGGAGGACGCATCTCATTTCAGGAACTGATATTACAAAACCCAGAGCACTCATGACTTCTGTTTCTTTGGATAGTCTCTCTGGAAAATTTTTTAGGATCTACAGTTAGTTCTGATATTCTCAGATTTTCTGATAATGTAGCTTGGAGTCATTTCTTTCTCTGCACTAAGCTGGATATTCAGTATGACTTCTCAGTTTGGAAACAAATATTTTACAACTCTACAAAAGTTCCTTTTCTCAGCGTTAAAAAATAACAGTCTAAAAATATTCTTCACTGTGCCTGGAACAATGGTTCAGTGGCTAAATCTTTGCCTTGCATGTGCTGGCATCCCATATGGGTACTGGTTCATGTCCCGGCTGCTCCACTTCCCATCCAGCTCCCTGCTTATTGCCTCTTTGGAAAGCAGTGAAGGATGGGCCAAAGCCTTGGGACCCTGCACCTGCACTGGAAATGCAGAAGAAGCTCCTGACTCCTGGCCTCAAATCAGCTCAGCTCCAGCTGTTGTGGCAACTTCAGGAGTAAACCAACAGATGGAGGATCTCTCTCTATCTCTCCTGCTCTTTGTGAATCTGCTTCTCAAAAAAAAAAAAAAACTTAAAACAATATATACTAGCACATGTACTTCATCAGCATCAGACAGGATGGTCTCAGGTATATATTTATATACGTTACGTGCAGAGACAAAAGAGCTTCCACCTGCTGGCTCACTCCATAGATGCACACAACGACCATGGCTGGGCCAAAGCCAGGTGCCAAGAACTCCATTGAGGTCACCCAAGTGTTTAACTTGCTTCCTTCCCTCATGCTATCTTAATATGCCGCATTACATAGCTTCATTTTCTGCTGAGCCTGAACACTTGGGTCTTCATGGCTGCCTACCTGGATCTGCATTAACAGGAGGTTTAAGGTGGCAGCTGAAGGTGGGCATTGAAACCAGGCACTCCAAGACTGGATGTGAACAAACCATCAGGCCAAAAGCCAAAGCCTGCCCCTTGACTCTGTAATCAATACAGTTTATCTTGTTTCCTCACCTACTGGTGTTCCTCTTAGTCATACACTGGACCTCTAGCCAGCTTTCCTGATTTCCTCCTTCTACTCCTTGGTCATCTCTTTTCATTCTACTTCTGGGCAATATCCTCAACTTTCAAGCTTTGGTTATCTTAGCAATCACATTTCAAGTTGCCAAAAACCCTTTCGTGTCTCTCAATGCTTTTGTTCTCTTAAAGCAATCATGGCAGGTGGAGGATTCGCTTTTGGCAGGCGGACACATCAAGATTTTCATTGTGAAGGAGAAGGGAAGGATGGGTGTGGAGCAGGGGGACACATATGGATGTGGTGGCAGATGACAGGGGTTATTCCTTTTGGTGACTTCCATCTTCTCTGGATGCCATCTACTGACACAATGGAGCAGGTAAGAGGGTGAAAGGGAAATTGGAGCTAAGCTTCCCCAAAGCCTAGTGGCTTTCTGGGTGTAGTCCCGAGAGCCTCTCTCGTTCATGGTAAAGCCAGAGACCTTGAGCTTACCATGGCCACAGTGTGCTATTTCAGGCAAGCTGCTGGAGCAGGTGTGGAGACAATGGGCTCTCAGAGGGCTGGCAGTGTGCAGTCTCGCCTGGGTCATCTGCAGGGGCTGCAGGCAAAGGTCTGTAGGGACAGGCTGCGGCGATCACAGCTGGCAATGCTGAACCTTCCTGCCTGCTTAGAGACTTCTGGGAGGCACAGAACATTCTAACTGTTCGGGTTGACCTTGCCAAGCCTAAAGGATGATGCTCCTTTAAAAATCAGAGGCTTTGTGTGCAGTTTTGTCTCTTTGACAGTTTAGAAGGCATCCCCATACCTACGCTTGGGCTTCCTATTGCTGGCACTTGGAAGCGATCTGCCTGCTGGAGTATGTTTTTTGTTTCTTACCTTTAACATAAGTCGGGTTCATTGGGATCCTTAATTCATGGCAAGAGAAACTAGACAGTCTCTTGGCTACTGCTTGTTTTATGTTTTCTGTCTGTTTCCAAAGGAGAATGAAACAGACTCCACTGAATGTCACCCGGTTGCTCACGTTTATTTACGATGTTTTCAGCACACGGACAGATCACATCACATTTCCTGCAACTTGTTCTCCCTCTGGAGTAGCTTCAGCTGACACTAGCAGATTCTCTGAAAGCTCACGCACACGCGAACACACATGCACAAAAGGCAAGTACAGAAACAATGCCACCCAGGTGCAAGAAGGCTTCATTTGCAAACTATGGGTTCATTCCCTTTGCCTCAGAGACCGCATGGAAAGGTCCTCCCTGCCCCAGGCCAGGGCTGGGCGAGGCTGAGCGAGCCTGCACAGGCCATTGTGTGATACCCACTGCTATAGATACAGGGTGCCTGGGCGGCCACTGCTGGCTCCACTGCTGTGTTCCCATGACAAGGGGCCAGGATCTCAGCTGGGTTCAGAGTGGCGAGGGGCGGGGGCAGCGAGGTGAGCAGAAGGCAGCCTTCTGGCCACCAAGCACTTGCTTTCAGCACTTGCGGACAGCGCTGAGGCTCTGCAGCTCAAGAGTCTCTTTCTCCAAGGCCTTTGGACCACCCAATCGTTCACAGAGGCAAGTATTACAAGGCTGGCAGACCTGCTCGGCAAAGTCACCCTCGCCTCTCTCCTTAGAAACTCATTGGTGCCCCACAGCAGCTATGAACACCCCACAAACCCGTGAGCAGTGCAGGAGCAGGTGGGGGACCAGTGGCTGATGAGTTTTGCCACAACCCAGGTGGACTGAGATGAGAGAGAGGGGCCTGGGCCACAGGGCACTGCATTTCTTCTCCACCCAGGCCCCACCCCATGGATGGGTTTGCCTGGTGCCCTGCCTGGACAGTTGTGCTTGGAGCTGCAACAGAGGTCAGCAGGGGGAGCTGCACGGCTGTCCTCACCCAGGGGACAGGGGTAGGCCTTTGCCTGGGGCCGTGGCAGGAAAGCAGCAGAGCACTGGGTGTCCCGCTTCTAAGGGGAAAAAAAAAATAAAGCTTTGTACTTGAACAACAATAGCCCTTGACGTTTCACAACGCTGAGCACCCTATCAAACACTGCTGAGAGTGCCCTACACACACATACACGTACACACAGTGCACACGCACACACACACCACTGAGAGAAAAGGGCCTTGGGGAAGGCCCCTGCCCCACACCCTGCAGGTTCCTCTCAGCACCTGGGGGCAGGGAAGCTTGGCTCCTGCAGGGCCTCTGGCCCTCCAGAGGAGGCAGTTTGGCAGTGGCTGGGAGGAGGCTAGGTCCCCATTCAAACAGGGAGCGGAAATCCCAGATGCCCCACAGGGCTCCAGGTGGCAGTGCAAGACTTATGGAGTGGGAGGGCTTCGGGGACCTGGAAAGTTCAAAGATCAGAGTCCACCTTCTCAGCCAGAACCTTAACTGGCCTTTGTAACACTCCTTGAGAGTTAAGTGTTTAACAAAGATGTAAGGAGCAGGTGGAAGGTGACGTCACAGGGGAGGAGTGTGCCAGACATGGTGCTACATTCTCATGGCAAAGAGGCCCTGATGGCTCACGGCCTTCACCCCATGAGTAAAACTTTGGCTGACATCTGCTTGGTGCCGTGCCAAGCCTAAGGTGCTCATATATCCACCAAGCTGCCCCTCTGGGAAGAGACCTGGGATGGACTAACAGACCCTTTGGCTGGCCTCCTACCAGGGATACTACCAGGCCCAACACAGATGGTCGTGTGGAGAACGTCAGTGGAGACTTCGCTTCTGCTGGCCGCACCCCAGTGCTCATTGCCTTCCCTATGAAGGAACAAGGAATGGGCCACCATGATGCCAAGTGGGTCAGAATGGGACACATTCAAGAAGGCATATAGGCCCTAGTGTCCTCCACTTCCAAGCTAAAGGAGAGGAAGGTAGTCGCAGATTCCCAGTGGATCCCAGGACAACTTTCTGAGGCCCACACACCTAACGGGGAAGGCCAGTGGGGCTGCCTAGGCCTTGGATGGGGACCCTGCCCAGGAAAGCAGGCCAAACGAGGGTAGCAAAGCCAGCAGAAAGGGTTGGGGGCCCTAGGGAAGATGCTGCCTTCAAGAGCCAATGTGCTGGTGGCAGGAAGGGAGTGTAGAACGGCAGTCTGGGGATGTCACGTGGGGACAAGGACCTCAAATTAGACTTCTGTCGCTCCTCACTCTTCTGTACTACTGAGAAAAAGTCGCTTTGGCGACCAGATAAGTTGGCTGGGGAGGGGAGATTGTCTAGGCCAGGGCCGTCCAACCTGCCCCATCAGTGACGCCCCCAGCCCAGTCACATCCCGCCTACTGTGCCTGGTGGCTAATGAGCTTTGGGACTCCACTTTCCCCAGAGCCCCTAGGCTCCATGCATTTTCTAGGAGGGAATAGCCCTTGTCAGACAGAGAGAATGGGCACAGATGGAGACAGGAGGAATGCAAGTGGGGACAGAAGCATCAGCTGGAGCTGGAGGCCCAGCGAAAGCTGCAAGAGGCCCCGGCCCTGGGCCAGTCACTTTAAGGTGTCATCGGCGTTTTTGAACATGAGAATGGCGTTATAGATCTTCAAGGCTGGGCCCAGCTTGACGCTCATGATCTTCACAATGTCCGCCTGTGTCAGCAAAAGGAAGGCCTCGCCGTCAATCATCTGAGGGATGGGAGAGGGAAGTGGAAAGCGGAGAAGGTGGAGAGGGCCACGGGGAAGGGGGATCGGGGCCGTGAGGATGTGTGTTGGGGGTAGGGTGGGAAGAAAGAAAATGGGAGTGAGGAATATGTGGGGAGGGGGGCAGGAAGAGAAAGGGGAGCAGGAGAAAGGAAAAGGAGGAAGGAAGGAAAAAAGGAGACAGCAATGGGGACGGAGAAGGAAAGAAAGACAGCCACTGGATTCCCCCTTCTCTCTCTGCTGATCAACGTGTCAGCATTTGCATTTTTAAACAGTCTCTCAAGTACCTGTGACCAGTGGCTTCAAGATGCTGCTGTGGGGGGCGCAGCACAAAACAAAATGCAGAGTTCCATATGCAGACCTTATTCAGGATTTCATGAGAGTGACACCTGAGCAGGGGCCCAAGCATGGGATCCTCCAGGCCAGGCACAGGTTGACCGCAGTGTTGCACTCCCAGGAAGCTGGCCTTGCCATTGTCCACCGACTCACCAACCCCTCTAGTCCCGACAGAGGCTTCCTCAAGAACCTCTGCATCAGCAAGGATGATTCAAGTCTTCAAAATCCCGAAAACCAACTAAATGACCAAAAAAATATACCGAACAAACCAAACCTGAAAGTTGCTGCTCTTGTTTCCACGTGAACTCTGTTCAATCTTAGTGTCAATAACAAGTCAAATACCATGTGTGTTCTGGAGTGACGCCACGGTATTACCCATGAGTCTTTCTGGCCAAAACCAGACAGACCAAGCTGACCTGAAGCTGACTGAGGTTCTGGACCAAACTGCCAGTTTCTGGTAATTACAAGAATCAGTTAAGTGTCACTACAATGAAGTGATGAGACAAAACCCAGGAGGCATTCCATAAGACATCTTAGAATACTGTAGGGGGAAAAAAATGAGAGGGACTGTTCCAGAATAGAAGATAATTAAGAGATCTAACAAGTGAAACCAACAAAGAGGGCCTAGCTTAGTTCCTGGCTCAAAAACTACCAAATACTCTAAGGAAACTGAGGAAATGTGTATATAGACTTGGTCACTGGACTCGATTATACAAAGGAGTTACTGTCAATTTGTTAGATGGATCACAGTAGGGGATAATAGAAAATTCTTAGCGGTTGTTTTTTATTTTATTTATTTATTTTAAAAGATTTATTGTTTTTACTGGGAAGGCATATTTCCAGAGAGAAGGAAAGACTGAGAGAAAGATATTTCATCTCCTGGTTCATTCCCCAAACGGTCTCAATGGCTGGAGCTGAGCCAATCAGAATCCAGGAGACTCTTCTGGGTTTCCCATATGGGTGCAAGGTCCCAAGGACCTGGACCATCCTCCACTGCTTTTCCAGGTCACAAACAGGGAACTGGATGTAAAGTGGAGCACTGGGACATGAACTGGCTCCTATAAGGGATGCTGGCGCCTGCGAGCAGAGGATTAGCCTGAACACGGCACTGCCCGCAGGTACTGTTTTTAGAAATGTTTCTTTGTTTCAGAGACACAGGGAGATAGAGAAAGAGAAACAAACAGATTCAAAGACAAAGTTCCATCTGCTAGTTCACTTCCTAAATGCCAGAGATAGTCAGGGGTGGGCTGGGAGCTAAAGCCAGGAGCTGGGAACTTAATCCGGGTTTCTCAGAGTGTTATTACTACTGCCTCCCGGGGTGTGTGAGCAGAAAGCTGGAGTCAGAAGCTGGAGGCAGTCATGATACCTCGGATGTGAAACATGCGCATGTTAAATTCCAGGGCACACAGTTGCTCCAGAAAATCTTTAGCCTTAATGTATCCAGAGGAAAAATATTATTATGTCTATAATCTACCTAAAATTACATCCTCCTGGCTGCCAGCTTTGGACCATCTCAGCTCTGGCTGTTGTGGCCATTTGGTGAATAAACCAGCAGATGAAAGATCTTTCTCTATCTCTCCTTTCTCTGTAAAAATTCTGTCTTTCCAATACAAAGAAATAAATGTTCAAAAAGAGAGAATGAGAGAGAGAATGAGCGCTGAGGAGTGTGGCCGTGCAGGGCCGAGGAAGTGCCATCCTCCAACACCTGCTGCTCAGGAATTACAGTAGAAAACGGTTTACAGGGCCCGGCGAGGTGGCGCAGTGGTTAAGGTCCTCGCCTTGCACGCCCCGGGATCCCATATGGGCGCCAGTTTTAATCCTGGCAGCCCCGCTTCCCATCCAGCTCCCTGCCTGTTGCCTGGGAAAGCAGTCGAGGATAGCCCAAAGTTTTGGGACTCTGCGCCCGCATGGAAGACCCGGAAGAGGCTCCTGGCTTCGGATTGGCGCAGCAAGGCTGTCGTGCTCACTTGGGGAGTGAATCATCAGAGGGAAGATCTTCCTCTCTGTCTCTCCTCTCTGTATATCCACCTTTCCAATAAAAATAAAATAAATCTTTAAAAAAAAAAAAAAGAAAGAAAATGGTTTGCAATATTTCTTACATGCAGGCACTGCCCTTAGTCACTCATCACTCATTAACACATTTAATCCTCATGGCAACCTTAGGAAGTGGTATAGGTCTTACCCCTTCTACAAATGAGGAAGCTGAGGCAGGGAGGCAAAAGACCTTGCCCAAGTGACCACCACGGTTGAGACCACAGGCCAGCACTTGGAATGGGTGACTTTTTAGGACCACCTGACCTGGAGTGGGCAGCTGTGGGCAGTGGAGATCACACTTCTCAAGGTTGAGGGGATACCAAGGAGGGCACCTGTATTGTTCAGGAGGATAAATACATAAATCTAAGTCACATGGGCCTGGTGTTGCAGCATAGCAGGTAAAGTCGTCATCCATCCCACATGGTGCTGGCTTTTGTGCTGGCTGCTCCACTTCCATCTAGCTCCCTGCTGATGGCCTTGGAAAAGCAATCAAAGATGGCAGAGTGTTTGGGTCTCTGCCACCCTTGTGGAAGACCTGTGCCAAATTCTCATCTCCTGGCCTTGGCTAGGGTCAGTGCTGGCCTTTATGGATACCTGGAGAGTGAACCAACAAGTCGATGGAAGATCTCTGTCTCTTCTTAAACTAGCATTTATTGCCCTCACTGTATCAGGCATTCAAAAATAGTGATGATTTACAAGTTACTCAACAGGATTGCTGCTGTATATATACACACAAATATTAGTGACATCATTACACTAGACATTCTAGTACAATGACTCATTCACCATTTCCAGGGCTTATAGTGGCCCTGTAGGGCACTCCTGATCAAACCACTTTATCTCCACTTTGCAGACAGGAAGACTCAGGTAGACAAGGGCCAGCTTGTGGACCTGGGACTTCAACCCAGACTCCCCAGCTGGCATTCTTTATCTACAACTCATGGCTGCTTATTTTCATATGCAACTGGCTCTTCACTTTGAGTGTATGTTAGGATCCTTGCAGTAAATACTACCTATGCCATTCAAAGTTTACTTCAACCTATTGACAGGTGCAGGTAAGTTTGTCAAAGAGGAGATAGGCATAGTGCAGACGAGTGAAAGGATCCTGTCTCCAAGATGTGTCCTTCCTTAAGATGACACAGAACACATGACCCCGCCCCACAACACCAGGCCGTAGTCCAGGCCAGATTTTTTTCCCCTGAGATGTGGGTCTCTGTGACTGGCTGGGCAGCAACAGTGCTAGTGAGGGACACCGGTTTCCTGCCACCCCGAGAACATGGTGACCTCGGGCTCCCACTCCGCACTTGCACCTTACCTCATCTTTAAAGAGGCGTGCTTGGTCCTCACAGCCTGTTAGGGTCTGAACGAAGCCGAAGACCTGGGGAACCAATGGAGCCACACTGAAGAGGGGCTGGCACTTCAGAGCATGTGTGCAGCTGGCCCATGTGGTCTCAGTTTCAGCATTGCTGCTTCTCAGCAGCCTGGGCAGGGGTGAGAGGGCAGTGGGGCAGGTGTAGCTCTGGGCTGGGGTGTGTAAAAGAGCATTCTCCTTGCTCCCAAAGCACATGGCAAAAGTCTGACTTTCCCACTGGACTGCCAGGGACAAAGCAGCACAGCACCACCTCCCCTAATGGGGGCCTATCAGAGGACAGTGTCTCTGTTAGCCCCAGGCACACAGCTAGAAGGAACTGTGGAAAACAGGGATGAGCAGGAGGTAGATTTGGGAGGAGTCCTGGGCCCAATCCCAACCATGCTGAGCAGGGCTCCTGTGAACATCCTGCCAGAAGCTGGCAAGAGGGCAGAGGAAGCAGGAGGAAGAAGAGGAAAGGACGCTCGCTCCTCACCTCCTCGATGGTCCACTTGGCGACGGTCGAGGCCGAGATGCCCGCCACTCCCGGCAGGAGCTTGCAGTGCTGCTCCCAGCACATGGACAGTGAGCGGTCCGGGTGGGCTGATAGGGCCGACATGAAGAGGGACTGGTGTACTGCATCTGGAGTGAGTGCTGCAAGCAAAAAGAGGTTGGTGGGTTGGTACCAAGGACCCATCTGGTCCTGCATTCTCTTTATTTGGGGGTCTGGCCAAGCATAAGGACCCTGTGGAACCTCCCAAGAGCCTGGAGGAACCAAGAGCTGGCCTTTATGGCCTTCATTTGTGTCCCTTGAACACAAGAGCTGAACACAAGGAACCAAGAGCTGGCCTTCATTTGTGTCCCTTGACTTCTGACTTGGTAAAGTGGGTCCATCCTGGCAGCCCTACAGGCCACTCATCTGGAGCGAACTCTCAGTCTGAGGTTGTATCACTTGGGGCCCACAAGGATGCTTGCATCTGGTGTCTGCTTGGCATTTTATGCCTCAACAGTTCCTAATGCCCAACCAAGCTCAGCCATGATGGAAGAGGTCCCTTCTGTCTGCCCTCCTTTCCCTAAGTCCTTCTAAGTTCAGTCAACTCTCTCCAAGCTGGAGTGGTTCTGATTCAGAATCCAAGTTGCCTCAACCAGTCCATAGCCCACTCTGCAGGCTGCTGTCATGGTGCCACGCCCCAGCTCTTCTTCCCTATTGTGCCCACAGGCTTGGTCTTCAGTGGCATCTGCATACCAGTACCATTCCTCTAGTACTAGAGGGCAGCCCGTGACCCATATCACTCATGACTTTACTTCCTGATCATGCCAGGCCTCTGCCTCACAGAGGCTCCAAGGAGCTCCTGGCCACTGCAGTTGGCATCGTTACTTGGCCTTCACCAGCCTGACCCTAGCCACGGGTGGCCTTGGGCAGCCTGAGTACTCTCCACAGGGCTTGTCCAGCCTCCCATGTCTAGGAAAACTGCCTTGATTTGCATGGCACAAATCCTAGGTGCTCAAGAATACACCTGCAGTGTCTGCTTCTACAAGGCCATGCCCTGTCCCTCACAGAGCGTTCTGCCCTCTTTCCTGACTTCAGCCTGAGCCTCTCTGGTTTCATCAGGAGCCCTGTTGATGCCATTCTCCTTTGAGATTCTGCTTAAAGCCCCATGCCATGGTGCCTGCCCATGCCCCAACAGCTCCACTGCAGTATCACCAAGAGCTGCTTCCTCTGTACTGCCATCCAGCCCCCTTTGTCATCCACCTGGGACACATTCAACATCTTCTGTGACAGCCCTCCCTATAGCAACATCATTCACCTGCCACAGGCTTGGTTTCCTAACCATGCAGTGCTCCCTCTTTAAAACCCTGCATCTGGTCCTGCCCAGATCCTGGATGGGAGTCTGGAGGATACATCACGATTGCCAAGGAACCTCCTCCGTCCTTTTCTTTCTCCTCCAGAGCTCGAGCCAGGAGCTGTCATGGGCAATTCTGTGGCCTTATCTACCTAGCACTAGGTCAGAAAAGGCTGTCCTGGTTCCTTCCAACAGTGGACACTCTGGGACCTAAAGAGCAGGAACTGTCCTGGCCAGAAGCCAATGAGTGGGGCAGCTCAGCAGCAAAGCCTAAGGACAGATGTGGGAGAGTCTCCCCAGGACAAAACCCAGAGTGACCAGCATGCTTTCTGTGAGCTGGTGGACACACAGTCTCTGTCCTTGAAGTACCTGGAGGCCAAAGCCTCATCCTTCCTCTCTCTGGGCTACAGTTTCATCTCCTAGAAGGACTTCTCAAGAATTCTACACAGTGGACAGGTGCCCTCTTGTGGGCATGCCTTGGCCCTACAGCAGAGGCCGATCAGTGACAACAGGGACATTGCAGTGACAGCCTCTCAAGTCCATGCCTTCATCCTTAGGTCTGAAGCTGCAAGAGTTGCCCTCCAGCTCCACCAAGAGAAGCCGGCTAAGACCTGGACCAGTGACAGCAGTGGCACTGTACCAGCTAAGCACTTCACTTATGTGGGGGCACTGGGCTCCGACCTGCTACCCCTCCCCGCCCCCGGCAATGCATGCTCTGCCCAAGGTCTCACAGCCCGTAACAGGCCACCTGACTACTTCGGGGCTGTGTTTTCTGATGACCGTGTTCCATAGTCACTCACATTGCCTAGGTCTCAGGGCAGATCCTAAAGAACCAGAGTGCTTGGGTCCTGCCCAGAAACTCTGCAATGAACCAAACCCGGTTTATAGTATCTTTTTAAAGATTTATTTATTTTCATTGGAAAGTCAGATATATATAGAGGAGGAGAGACAAAGAGGAAGATCTTCTGTCCAATGATTCACTCTCCAAGTGGCCATAACGGCTGGTAATGCGCCAAACCGAAGCCAGGAGCCAGGAACTTCTTCCAGGTCTCCCACATGGGTGCAGGGTCCCAAAGCTTTGGGCCATCTTTGATTAGTTTCCTAGGCCATAGGCAAGGAGCTGGATGGAAAGAGGAGCTGCTGGGGTTAGAACCGATGCCCATATGGGATACTGCCGTGTTCAAGGCAAGTCATTAGGCCTCTGCACTGGGCCCATTTATAGTATTTTGTGATAGCAACCTGTGCCAACAAATGCCAAGCGGACTGAGAGGTGAATTGAGGTTTGGGTTAGGTGCTTTTCTCCCCAACACACCAGCAGCAGGTAGTAGAAGTTGGATCCAAGTTTCAATGTCAGATCAGTCCTTCACACAGTGAATCATCTTGGGCCTGTTAATTTACCCTCTGAGCCTCACACTGCTCGCCTCACATAGACCTCCAGGCGCCTGATAGGAGTGGAGACTTGGGCCTGGTGCCATAGCCTAGTGCCTAAAGTCCTAGCCTTGAACATGCCAGGATCCCATGTGGCTGCTGGTTCTAATCTCAGTGGCACCTAATCTCTTCTCATCCAGCTCCCTGTTTGTGGCCTAGGAAAGCAGTCAAGGATAGCCCAAAACCTTGGGACCCTGCAACCATGTAGGAGACCTAGGGGAGGCTCCCGGCTCCTGCCTTTGAATCGATTCAGCTCCGGCCATTGTGGCTATTTGGGGAGTGAATCAGCAGAGAGAGGATCTTTCTCTCTGTTTTTCCTCCTACCTGTATGTCTGACTTTCCAACAAAAATAAATAAATCTTTAAAAAAAAATAAGAGTAGACCATTAGTGTCAGAAGGCACAGCACCTGTCTGACAGCAGGTGCAGCGGTAACCACTATTTTCTCAGGTGGTGACACTCAGGAGGCAGGTTTTACTCAGTTTTCAAGTGGAGAAACTGTGGCTCAGAGATGGCAAGCGACTTACTCAAGGTCACACAGCTAGGAAGTGACAGCCATGGCCTCCTTCCCAGGCAGACTGGATCCGGCAAACAGCAGGGCCGGAGAAGAAACAGAGGCTCGGAGAGGGTCTGTGCTTTATCCACAGACTCAGAGCCAAGCCCTGGGGAAGCAGGCCTGGAGCCCAAGGTCCCTCAAAGCCCCTTGCTGCGCTCCTGCTACTGCTCTGTGCCCCCAGAGTATCTCCAAGGGACAATTTCCCACCCACTTTTGGTGCTCAGAGCATCCCAGGCGTGCTGCCCCACAGGCCGGGCCACCTGCCGAGGACCCTCGGGAGCAGCAGGAGGAAGAGAGGGGACTTACACTGGAAATCCTCTTGTGGAATCTTCTGAAACTTTGGAGGGCGTCCGATCCTGCAGAGAGAGGAAGCAAGCCTGTGGCAGGCGATCTGTGCCCTGCCTGGGGAGGACATGAGGCCCACAGCCTGAAAGTTCTGGCCCCGCCTTCCTGGGCTCCGCACCGGCCACCGGGGTGGCGAGGCTTCTTCCTCGGGGACAAGCTGGAGAGGCTGCGCTTGCGGGCCGAGGCCTCCGTGTCTGATAGCTCTGCCTTCAGTCGGCTCTGGTTCCTCTCTGCCAGTGGGCAGCCCGAGAGGCAATGGTGAGCCGTGAACTTGCCTGTGACATGGCCTGAGCCATCACACCCAGGAGTGGGGCACTTTCTGCAGAGAGAAGATCTGAGTTGATTGGATCCACCTAACCCCACTGAGCCCTCCCCGGCCCTGGCCACACCTGGAGAATGTCCAGGTCACCCCTGGTGGCCCACACCGGGCTGTACGTGAAACCCGCACTAACCCACGCCCGAGCGTCTGCCAGCAGGAGCCTCGCTCACCGGTGGTGAAAGCTGTATTTGGAGGTCCTGGTGTGAGGCGGACTCCTATAGCTGAGAGGGGGGCAGCCCCCAGGGGAGGCGGAGCTGGGCTCTCTGGGCCCTGGAAGAGAAGCAGAACAGTGAGCTCTGGGTCCTTGGGGAGGGGAGAGGGGCCCACGGGGAGGAAGGGATGGCTTCCAGGGGGTGGGCAGAGCCAGTTCTCCAAGCACAGGGCCCTCCACCAGGCTGTGCCACCACGTCCTGCTACTGGACATGGGCCCCCTCAGCAGAGGAGGGAGTCTTGGCTCTCATGCACTTCACTGGAACCCCCAGGCGGGACCCTCAGTCTCAGGTCTTCTCCCTTAGGGGAAGGTATGGGCACAGCAGGCAGAGCCGCATTCTCCTCCATCCCTTTCCCTCTCTTCACCCTTGAGAGTAGGGTAACCTTTTTGATGCTCTGCCCATGGTTGGAGACAGGCGTCTGAGAAGGATCAGCTAGCTGCATGGTAGCAGCAAGGAAACAGGGGGGCCAGAGTCCTCATAGGGAGAGTGGGGCAAGGAGGCAGACCTGTCCTCCAACTCCTGCCCTTGCAGGAGGCCAGTGTTGCCTCCACAGACATGTACATGCTTACATGTGGCTCTACCACAGCTGAGAGGACTCTGGGTACCTGACAACTTCCTCCACTCTCATACAAGCTTCCCCCTCCACACCTCACTACAGCATTGCTTAGCATGCCACGGTCCTGAGGCGCAACAGTGGGGGAACCTGGAGCTCACTGTGGACCTCGGAGCCCTGTGTCAGATCTGGGCACGGGGTAGGACAGAGGGGCTGCAGGTGGCAGGGCAAGGGCCAGCATGCCCTTGGGGGTACGCACGGAGTGGGGGCTGCAGAGGATGTCCCGTCTGGGAGCACCAGCCCGCGGGGTGGATATCTGGGTGGTCAGCATCGATCCAGAAGTCATAGCCGTGACTCCAACCGTCAAAGTGGAGCTGTGGAGGGAATGCCCCTGGAGGTCAGCAGTCCCTTGCAGAGCTCAGCATGGCTGGGAGGCCCTCCTGGCTCCAGGAGCCTCTCCCCATCCAACCCTGGGGCCTGTCAGAAGCAAGATTCTGGATAGGAGGGAGATCCGAGAGACCAATCACACGATGCCTAGTCATGGTCAGCACAATCCCAGGGGCTTCCTCATGACGTGATTAGCACCTCATGTTCAATCCACAGGAGGGTCAGGGAGGATTAGGCCCACTTTACAGAGAAGATAAAAGCTCAGAGGGAAATGACCTGCCCAAGCCCACAGAAGTTAAGTCCAGCTAAGTTAAGAATCTTCAGCCTTGTCTGTGTCACACCATACCCTGGACCTCTAAGCAGTCTATTTCACCCCTGCCCACCTGGCCTGTCCACTCCCCCAGCGCTAGGTCCCGGGGCCACCTTTATCCGATGGTCCTCCACATCCTCCACGCTGGCCACACGAATCAGGGCTGGGTTCCTGCGGTCCACGGCCTCCAGCTTCATGTTGACCAGGAAGCTGTGAGGTGGTCGCTGTGTGGCGGGGGAACAGTTGCCTTTAGGCCAGGGCCCAGCTCAGCAATGAGCACAGGTGCTATGCCTAGGGAATCTGTGACCTCCCCTCTGCTTCCTCCAGAAAAAGGGAGAAGACCAAGGCCCACCCTGGCTGGCTTCATGTCTTCTTGGGCTCAACTCCGAAGCAAAGAGCACAGACTCACCACCTTGAATGCCCACGCAGGCACAGCGGAAGTCCCAGTTTCCTCTAGGTATTTCTCCCAGCAGAAGCTGTCAGGGTCTGGGTAATCTGGAGGAGAAGGAGAGAAGGAACAGCTTCCTAGGTGCACTGGGGGAGTGCTCTGTCCCCAGGCAGGAAAAGGAAGGGACATCTCCACCTTCCCCCCTACCACACAAGTGTATCTACAGGCTCCTTGGGTGGTTGGGTGCCAAGTGTGAGCCAAACACAGCCCCACCCCCATATCTCACAGGGCATCCCGGGATTCTGGCTGCGTCAGCCATGGTCCTGTTCATTGCACCTCCATGGTGCTGTGGCCAGGATGATGCCCAGGGAAGGACACATGCTCTGCTTTGCACTCCCTGCTCCCTTGCTGAGGGGCTCATCTGGCTTCCTCCTCTCAACTTTAGTAGAGTCAGGGTCTGCCAGAATCCTCCTAAAATCAAAGGGGCTCTTAACTCCTGGGCTAAGAGGCTGGGGTTCCAGAATTTATCTGTCCCCTCACCTGTCACCTGGATCCTAAACAGCCAGCTAATGAGGCCCTGGGAAGGGACTGGGGGCAGGGAGGTACAGTCAGGCCCCAGGCAAGGACACTTGTTCAGGCCCCAGGATCACCTTGTGGAGGGGTGAGGGGCTTTCCTTGCTTCTGGCACCAGCCCACTGGATGGATGTAGGGGCTGCTGGGATCACACCTGAAACCCAAGAATATGTCACTGTGCCAAGAGAAACTCCAAGGCCCTGAGCCGGCCATCCTCCAGCAGCACAGCTCCAGGGTTCATCCTCATGCTACGAGGGAGAGACAGCTGATGACAAGGTCGGAAAATCGCAGCATTCACGAAAAACTCTGCACCATCATTATGTCTCAGGGGTATGAACCACGGGGCTTTGTTCATTTTCACCATGATATTTTGAGATGATACAATTAACACTGAGCTACAGCTCAGATGCATGGCAAGTCAGGAATCCCCTACCCTGCACCAAGATGTGAATGGCAGGACTGGACTGAGTGCAGTTACCTGGTCCCTGAGATGTATGAGTGTCTGCTCCCCGTGACACCCACACACAGCATGCCCCCCTCACCCCACACCAAGTCCAGACCCGCCTACTACCAGTAGTCATAAGTATCGTCCCAGTTGTCAAAGTGCACCAGGAAGCGGCTATCCACCACGTCGGTCACGCTGGCCACGCAGACGAGAGATGGGTTCATACGGTCGACAGCCTCCAGCTTCATGCCCACCTGGAAGCCCAGGGGTGGGGGACTCTAGGAGCAAGAAGAGGGGCTGCCACGGCCAGGGCCAGGCAAACTAGTGCTAGCCCAGAGCCCGCTGGCCAATCAAGAATAGGTTCTCTAAGGGGCCTTCCTGGGACCTGGGCAAGCGCGGGGAGGTAGAAACAGGCTGGGATCGAGGGTCCCTCCAAGGCAGAATCATGACCCAAGCTCTGAGCCATTCAGGGATGTCTTGTTTCCCAGGTGTACTAGGAAGTGGCTGTACTTGCAGCAGAAGGCTGTATATCCACCCAAAGCATCTGGAAAGCTGAGCTGAGCTCAAGTCTCCCCTACCTGGCCAGGCCAAGTGTGGCAGTGGATGACAGGGAAAGAAGTGATGATGTGAGTGGCAGAGAGCTGGGAAGAGCCAGTGCTAACTGGTCTTCTGCCATGTCCTGGCATAAGCTTCAAAAGGTGTCATCCCCCCCTTCCTCTTTACTGCAATCTGTGAGATCTGCATTAGAACAGAATGCTAGCCAATGGTGGGAGAAGGACTGTAAGCTGTGTGACCGTAAAGTCTGCTTGCCCTCTCCTCCCCTGTCACCTGGGAACCTGAGGCTGGACTTGGGGAGTAACTGTCCCTATGTGGACAGCATGGTAGAGCCCACAGACCAAGGGAATTCGGCCCTTTGCTATGGCGGTAATGTTCTGCACAGAGGTTCCCTGTGTTGCCAGTGTGGTGAGGGTGAGAGGTGGCAGAACCGGAGAGCAGGAGATACTGAAGTCATTGGGGGATGAATGCAGTCCTTGCAGGACCCTCCATAAGTTCCCTCAAGGGCAGGTTGCTGTAAAGCTCTGAGCCTGGCCCCGAATCCCTGTGGTCTCCCCTCTCTGAGTGATGGTACTTCCAGCCTCCTGATGCCATCTGCTGTGAGACCCTCACTAGAGCCCCCGACAGATGGACCACCCAACTTTGCAGCTTCCAAAAATGTGAGCAAAATAAGTCTCATTTCTTTATAAAACATTCAGTCTCATTTCTGGAAAGGGAAATTGGACTATAACAGGAAGGAACAGCCTCCCCACTCTGGCCCTTGGCCCTGGCCAGCTGTGCCCCTCCCCTGTGACCAGAGAGACAGACGTGGCTGAGAGCACCAGAGGAGGAGCTCCCCAGGGCCAGCTGCTGGACGCAGGGGCACTCACGTGGCTCTGGCTCACAAACAGGTGCTTGGGGGCAGCCTGAGCTCTGGTGCTGCGCAGGTACTGGCTCCAGCTGAACTCCTCCTCCTTGTAACCTAGGCCCCTCGGTGGGGGGGACGAACAGAGCACTGTGCAGAGGCTGGGCCGCAGCAAAGGCACACCACGCTGAAGCAGCAGGACTGGGGAGGCCAGAGGAGCCCGCAACCCTCAAGAACCTGCCCAGGGGCCCCTTGCAGAAGCAGGACACGATCTGGGTCAGCAGAAGCCAACTTGGCCCAGGATAGAGTCCCGGGATGCAATGAAGAGGGGCTGGCTTTGGAACCAGGGGTAGCAGGGCTCTGAGATCGCCCTAGCTCACCAGGACCAACCCAGCCTGACTTACCTTTGGGAGGCTGCAGCTTGTGCCCTGTCTTCTCAAACCAGCCAGCAGGGTGAATGTCAGGGGAATTGGCATTGACCCAGAAGTCATGGCACTCAGAGTACCCATCAAAGTGCAGCCGTAGGCGGTAGCCACACACCTGGTCCCGTGAGAGGAATCACAGGGGCTCCAGTGCCCGCAGATAGCGGCGTCCCGCCCCTCAACCTGTCACTCCCTGGTGTCCTCCCATCCTGACTCTGCCCCACGCTGTCCCATCCTGCAGCAAGGACCGTGATGTACAAGCCCCAAGACCTATGTGCAAGGTAAGTGAGCTGTAGGACACTTGTGCCTTTGCAGCCTCAACTACCACAGGGCTTGCTCAGGCTCCCTGATGGGCCCTCCTTTGGCTGCTTTTCCTCACTGCTCTGGCCTTGCTGCACTGGTAGCGATGCCTGGGACACGATGGCCTATTCTGTGTCCTATGGTCCCAGCATACTTGGCTGCTTCTGCCTGCAATTCCCTCCTCATCCACAACCCATCTCGCAGTATGCAGCAAAGGAGACCCTTCTTCTCTGCTCCTCCTGCTCCCTCAAGCTGAACCCAGAGCTCCCTCCCTGCGCCTCTCTGCTCACAGCTGTCGCCAGGCCCCTGACATGTCGCTGGCTGACTATACATACAACCATGGGTCTCCAGAGGAAAAGAACCTTGATGACTCATGTCAATATCCCCAGCTCTCAGCTCCTTAATCCCTCAGTGACATCACACTCCCATAACACTTTTGTTTGCTGCCATTTTAAAAATAAATAAATAAATAAATAAATAAATAAATAAGCATTGTGTGGGTTCCAACTAAGCAGCCACTAGACTCTATGCTTTCCAAGATAAGGTTGTGTTCACCCGCATCCCCCAATGGGCTCCATCACCCCACACCGACAGACATCAGAAGGGAGATACCAACCCCAGCTCACCTCGGCCACAGTGAGGATGAAGTACATGGACGGGTGTTGAGGGTCAATGCCTTCCAGCTTCATGCCCATTTTGAAGCCATTCTTGTTAGGAGGGACTGTCTGGGACTGCCAATGCACACAATGGAGAGGACCCAGCTTCCATGTGGCCTTATCCTTGCCTGGTGGGCTTGGTAAAGGAGCTGTCTTTAGGCCCACCTGCCTGGTATTACCAAAGGGACAATGTGTTTGGGGATCCTTATTGCAGAGTTAAAATAGCTTGTAGGTCCCTTGAAAAAATGGGGGCTGGAGCTGGTGCTGATTCAGTAGGTTCAGCTGCTGGCATCCCATGTAGGTGCCAGTTCAAGTCCCAGCTGTTCCACTTCCAATCCAGCATGCTGATAATGTGCCTGGGAAACAGCAGAGGATGGCCCAATACTTTGGGCCCTTGTACCCATATGGGAAATCCGGAAGAAGCTCCTGGATTCAGCTCAGCCCAACTCTACCTATTGTAGCTTTTCGAGGAATGAACCAGCAGATGGAAGAACCTTTCTTCCCTCTCTAACCCTTGCTTTCAAGTAAATAAAATAAATTAAAAAAAGGAGGCTAAACTCAAGGCTCCCTCTTGCCCAAGCCATGGGAAGGTCAGGGCTGAACTGCAGACAGCAACGTTCAGAAGTCTGTAGGCCCAGGCACAGCTGAGCCTGAGTCCTCCCGCCCAGGCATAGCTGAGCCCAAGTCCCACTGCTCTTGCTCTCCTTCCCTGTGGGTCCTTTTCTACCCAGGACTCCTATTTAGTTCCCTCCTATCTTTCATTCTGCCAGTTTGCTGAGGACTGATGGACACAGAAAATACTAGGTTAGAGTATGTTGGTGAATCCCTGGATTGGGAAGATAAGACTTCCCAGGAGGAAACAGTCCAACTCACGTCTTGGAAGAGGCTGACTGGGGCAGTGACAGCCTTCTGTTCCTCTAGGTAGGAGTCCCACGTCCACTCTTCCTTCTTCTCACCTGATGCTGTGAGAAACAGACAGATGGGTCGGCTCCTATGGCAGGACTTGTCTCAGTTTTGCCTGGCCAAAGTTGGCCTTGATCTCCCAAATAAACCCTCTGGCCCCACCAGCCAGGACACATGAGCCTTGACCTTGTTCTGCCCAGCTCTCCCCCGCCCCAAAGTCCCAGTCAGCAGAGGTCCTTTGGGTAATGTAGCAATTAATGGAAGTCATGGAGTCTCTGCCCCAGAGGGACCCTAGCCTGGACAGCTGAGGTATGACAAGTCCTGAGCCAGAGAACTTAATCATGGTACCACCTAAGCTTATAAGGAAGGAAAAGAAAAGAGGAGAAATGAAGTCAAAGAAGGAGAAACACAAAAATGAGGAAGTCCATTCTTCCACCCCAAACACAGCATTTCTGTTCTCCTGAGTCTTTACCAAGTCTGGCCTGTGTCCAAAGGCCCTGGCTCTCTTGGACACTATCCTGCATCATTCGACCTTCAAGTCCTTTGTCACTAAGCACAATGCCTTTTCCCTTAGTCGCCACCTAAGTGGCTGGAAGTTATTTGTCCTGCAGCCAACTACATTTCCTCAGTCACCGAGGCAAGCCTTGGGAAGCCAACTACCCTGCCCAGTGAGGCCAAAGCAATTACTCTGATCATCAATTAACCAGTGATGCCATTAAGCTCTAGAACCCTGAACCAGCCAGCACCCCGACCTACAGGCCCCAGTGTGTCTCCTTCACCCTCCTCTGCCCTGAACTGCCCCTTAGGAAACATCACTGACAGATGTGCTCAGAAAGCCCTCCAGTTCTCTACTCAGAGAAGAGCAGCATGACTCCCAACTCATCATGCATAACACTTCACTTTCCCAGACTGTCACTGCAATGACCACAGCCTCCCTGGGCGACATTCTCCCCCAACCCCTGCTCTTCCCAACCATACCATAAAGTAATGGGCTAACTACTTGCTCAGTATCTCATCTTGAGGCACCTCTGCAGCTCCCAGGAACATTAGCCCTGAGTTCCTCTCCCTTTAGCCACACTCCGACATGGCCAAACTCTAACACCCCAATTTCACAGTAGATGCTTCTGACCAGTACTCTGTCCATCGTCATCTGAACTCATCAGCCCCTGACACTGCCACATCCCTCCGTTGGATTATGCTATCTTGATATTCTGACCAGTCGTTAGCTGTAGCAAGTGCACTGTCTGTAGCTTCTCATCATAAGCCACTTTGTTTTACCATATAGCGGCACTCCCTCTGTGCCTTGTCCCGCACAGGAAACTGAAGAGTACAGAGATGCCTTGGAGACCTCTACATCATATACCTAATCTCTGCTAGTCCTCCCAATACCCTGAGGTGAGAGCAAGGGTTATAGCCCCCTTTTCTGATGAGCAAACTCATGATCCAGGGAAAAGAGGCCTGACCAGTAAGTCTTTGTGATAACCAGGAATCTTTCCTGTAACTTAAAACAGGTCTCCCACTATCTGCCACTATCTTATTGTATTTATTGGAAAAGCAGATCAGATTTGTGGAGAGGACAGTCAGAGAGAAAGATCTTTCATCCACTGGTTTACTCCTCAAGTAGCTGCAAAGGCCAGAGCTGAGTTGATCCAAAGTTAGGAGCCAGGTGCTTCTTCTAGGTCTTCCACTTGGTGCAGGGTCCCAAGACTTTGGGTCATCCCTGACTGCTTTCCCAGGCCACAAGCAGGGAGTTGGATGGGAAGTAGAGCAGCCAGGACATAAACAAGCGCCCATATAGGATCCTGGCACTTGCAAGCTGATGATTTATCTATCCAGCTATTGTGCCTGACCCCTAAAGTTGCACTTTAGTTGTAGGTGTCTGGGCCAACATTGTGGAGCATCAGGTTAAGCTGCCACCTGTGGTGCTGGCAACCCATATGGGTGCTGGTTCAAGAGCCAGCTGCTCCATTCCAATCCTGCTGCCCACTAATGAACCTTGGAAATACTGGAATATGGCCCAATTATTTGGAGTCCTGCATCCATGTGGAGACCTAAAAGAAGCCTTGGACTCCTGGCTTTGGTCTGGCACAGTCCCAGCCATTGAAGTCATCGGCAAGGGGCAGGGAGACACAACAGATGGAAAGATCAATAACATTTTCCCCTTTTCTGTATAACTCTGCCTTTCAAAAGAAGAAGAAGAAGAAGATGATGATGATGATGTCTCAAGCAGCATCTCTACTTTGGATACAGAATTTCCTGTGTGTAAATCTGAAGAGACCAGGCCTGATGCAGTAGCCTGGCGGCTTAAAGTCCTCGCCTTCTACATGCTGGGATCCCATATGGGTGTTGGTTTATAACCCAGCTGCTTCTCTTCCCTACCAACTGCTTGCTTGTGGCCTGGGAGAGCAGCAGAGGATAGTCCAAAGCCTTGGGACCCTGCACTTGTGTGGGAGACCCAGAGGAGGCTCTTGGCTTTGGATTAGCTCAGCTCCAGCTGTTGCGGCTACTTGGGGAATGAAACAGCAGATGGAAGATCTTTCTCTCTGTCTCTTAGTAATTCTGACTTTCCAATAAAATTAACCAATAAATCTTTAAAAAATCTGAAGAGACCACAAATCAGAGAGCTGGGCCTTTGAGTTCTGAAGTGACTGCCTTAGGAAAACACAACCATGAAAATTTGGTTTGGCTGTGATGGGCAGATGTCGGAAGAGTCAGTACAATGCCCTAAGCTCTGGACACAGGCTGGGCTCTTCTGACTAGCTTGAGGTTTATCAAGCAGGATGTTCTCTAAAGTCTAACCTCATATTGCAGTTCATGTTCCGGAGGAGAAACTCCTGTGACTTAGCCATCCTGTAGGAGGAACCACCAGCATAGAAACTGCTCATTCATTCATCAACTGCATAAGCATATTGAAAACATACTCCACACCAGGCTCTAAAGATTGACAAACCGGATGAAACCCTTCTGTTGAAGTTGAAGTCTTAAAGGGAAAAGGCACTGAATAAACGGCTACACATCATCTGGGTGATCCCAAGTGTGACACAAGTTACTTAGCTACGGCTGGCAGGAGTCACATGGGAATGTGGTGAAGGGATGGGCCGACTATGAATAACCTCCACCTCATTTTTCTTAGAATTGAAAGGTCAGAATGGAGGCCCAGATAGATTAGAATCATGACTAATGCAGGATTGTCTCCACCATATTTTGGCTATACCACATGGTGCCAGTAGAGCCTACTGCAGACACCAGATACTGAGGCATGACCTCCCTACTAGAGGGGCTTACTCACAATGGGATAACAGAAAGCAAATAAATGGGGCTGATGGGGTCAGCACATTGGCTCAACTGGCTAACCCTTTACCTCCAAGTACACCCAGATCCCATATGGGTACCGGTTCATCTCCTGGCTGCTCCACTTCCCATCCACCTCCCTGCTTATAGCCTTGGAAAGCAGTAAAGAATGGCCAATGCCTTGGGACCCCACATTCACATAGGAAACCTGGGGAAGCTCCTGACTCCTGGCTTCAGGTCAGCTCAGTTCCTACCACTGTGGCCACTTGTGGAGTGAACCAGCAGACAGAAGATCTTTGTCTTGTTCTCTTCTTGTCTCTGTATATTTGCCTTTCCAATAAAAGTAAGTAAATCTTTAAAACAAACAAATAAATAAATAGGGCCATCTGGGAAGTGAACCAGTTGTTGGAAGATCTCTCTCTGCTTCTCCCTCTCTCTGTAACTCCAGGTTTCACACACAAGTACAGGGTTCCGAACTCTTGAGCCATTCTCCATCTGCTTTCCCAGGCCTTAAGCAGAGAGCTGGATGGGAAGTGGAGCAGCCTGGACACAAACCAGTGTCCACATGGGATCCTGGTGCATGCAAGGTGAAGATTTAGCCATTGAGCCATCATGCTGGGCCCATAGTCTTTTTTAAAAAGATTTAATCGGGCCCGATGTAATAGCACAGTGGTTAAGGTCCTCCCCTTGCACGCTCGGGATCCCATATGGGCGCCGGTTCTAATCCCGGCAGCCCAGCTTCCCTTCCAGCTCCCTGCCTGTGGCCCGGGAAGGCAGTCGAGGACGGCCCAAAGCTTTGGGACCCTGCACCCGCGTGGGAGACCCGGAAGAGGTTCCTGGCTTCGGATCAGCATAGCATCGACCATTGCGCTCACTTGGGGAGTGAATCATGGGACGGAAGATCTTCCTCTCTGTCTCTCCTCTGTGTATTCGCCTTTCCAATAAAAATGAATAAATAAATAAATAAAAAGATTTAATCATTTATTTGAAAGGCAAGAGAAACAGAGTAATCTTCCATTCACTGATTCATTCCCCAAATGGTGGCAAGGGCCAGGGCTAGCTGGGAGTTTGTTCTGGGTCTCCAGAGTGGGTACAGAGGCCTCTGGTCACCTTCTGTTGGAACTCACAGTGGTGGCCATAGGGGATTCCAGTGCCATAGGCAATGGCTTTACCTGTTATGCCACAGCATTGGCTCAAATAAATAATCTTTGGAAAAAATCAAATGCATAATAGAAACCCCAAGAACATACACACATATACTAATGTACAAACTAGGAATAACCCCTCAGTGCCTCTCTTTTATCCACCCTGACCCACGTTCCTCCAACACAACCTAACCCACACTCCCAGAGTCACACAAACATATACCCACAGGCCGCCACTCCAGGCTGGCTGCTGCTCCATTTCTCACTCTCTGGGGTGCTAGTGGTGGGTCTTCCTTCAGGATCCTTTTCTTCTTGCTTCTCCTGTAAAAGAGAGCCAATCCCAGCTTCCTGTTCTTGTGGGTTAGAGTGAAGTCCAGCCCCCACTCCCGGCCCTCGCTTGGCTCCCTAGCCACAGAGCGCTCTGCCCCAAACAGGTGGAATCTGTGCTAAAACGACAGCAGGAACCCAGCTCCTGCAGACAGACTACTCCCTCTGGACCTAACAGACAGACTGCCTCACGGCGAGGAGCTGGGGCCTGCTCTGGGCTCATTTTACCTGCCCATGAGAATCTTCACGCTCCGACTTCCAGCTTCTACAGCTAGAGCCCTGTGATCCCCTAGGCCTGGCTCCTGCACCCCACTAAGGGTTTCCCACCTGCTCACACACCTACCTTTGGAGCTCATTCATTTGAATGTGTCTTAATCCTAACACTTGATTAAGATGGGAGCTCAGAAAACCTGGGGAATGGTGCATTCATCTCCTCCCAACCTGGTTCAGTAGTTGCCTTGCAATGGGTGCCCAAAATAGGACGAGTGGGTGTTTTTTTTTCTGACCCAGTCCTATGATGTGCATTGAGGGAGGGTATGGTGGGGATTGAGATGCAGGCTCTAGCCTCCCCTTTCCCTCTTCCTACCATGGCCTCTGGCTCCGACTCCTCCGATGGGCTCTGGTATTCCCTGCGCTTCCTCTTCTTCATGGGCTTGAAGAGCTCAGCGCTGGCGCAGCTTGAGGAGTTTTCCACTATGACTGACCTGGGGCGGGGGGATAGAGGGAGGGGGAGGGCAATCTATGGCGAGACCTACCCTCCCCTCCCCCACCCGGGCTGCGCAGGCGCGCAGTACCCAGGCTCGCAACAGGATGGGGTTTGGGAAGCCTAGAGACAGAGCAAGTATGGCTACAGACCCTTACCGCTCCTGGAACAGCGGAGGGCAGCCATTGTTGCTGGAACCGGGATTTGGACCGGCACGGTGCTGAGGCCCACAGGCCTGGCACGGACAGGAGCCATCTGCGGTGTCCTGCAAGGGATCTTCCGGAGTGTCCTGGGGGAGGGTTTCTGTGGGGGCCAACTGGGCCTCAGGCTTCCCACCCCTTCTCAGCCACCCTCAGGTTCCACCAGGGTCGGCTCTCCGCACTGGACAGCCTCCCTTGGCGTCCTCCATCTCAGAACCAATCCGTGCAACACCTGTGGCCACGCCCCCAGCCGAGGCGCCTGGGGAGCGCCGGCCTCACGCGCCACCCACACAGCGTCCACACAGCGCCCGCGCAGGGCCTGGGGAGCGGGGGCTCCTACCGGGCTGTTGGGTGCCCGCATCGCCACCTCTGGCCGGAGGCCCGCCATCTTCGTATTTGGCCACGCCTTCTTGCCGCGGCTGGGGGTTTGGTGGCTGCTCCGTTTCCACCATGTTGATGGCCGCGTATTCACTTATCCGGAACTGGAGCGAGGGAGGATCTGAGGATGGCGACCCCTGTGCCAGTCCTCGATCCTACTCGGAGCAATATGGTCGCCGTCTCACCATTTCATGCCAGCTCAGGTCCCTACCAGGCCTCAAGCCTCCATCCAAGGAAGCCATACTCGCCATGCCTCCTACCCCAGAGCCACGCCCCCAAGCACCTGCAGGCCCAGTGCCAGGAGGCCTCATTGCAAGCCACACCCCCAGAGCTGGGATATCCTAGTGTTTCAACGCAAACCATATCCCTAAAATCCCTCAATCCAAGCCCCACCCTCAGGGACTAACATCTCAGCCAGCCAGCGTCCTCCCCATTCCCCGCCCCCCATTCGGTCGGCCTCAGACCCCGCCCCTAGGTCCCTCCTCCTCACCGGATTTTATGACCTGACCAATCCCTACTGACCCGCACACTGCTCCCAGGGGGCGGGGCTGCGGTCTCTGTCCACTCCAAGAGTCGCACTGTGGTAGCACTAGAGCTGCCCGCTGGCACAGTGGTTAGCTGGGGCAAAACGGTGGCCATGACGGGTTCATTGGTGGACACCCGTTCTGGGGCACCCACATGGATTGACTCCCGAGGAAAGCAGGACACATCCGGGGTACTGCTGGGCAGGCCAAGTGTGGCCGAACTGGCTGAGAACAGATAGACACAACACAGGTAAGCCTGGGGACGCTGCCTCAGTCGTGCCGTACACGAATTGGTAGGTAGACGTGAGTTATCCTAGGACGATAAAAAGCGTCATCTCTGTTCTGCCTTTTGGCTGAGGTCAAATGAAGAGTGTCATCATCTCCCCGCTGTACTGTCCACATCAGCTTGAGCAGGTTTGGAAATGACCTTCCCACCCAACCCCCTGCTTAACCCACCTGGAATAATGAAGGCCGTTGTGGGCAGGTGAGGACCAGAGCCTGGGCTGTCACTGGCCACCAGATGCACGCTGACTTCCCCTGTGGAAGACCCCTTCAGTGTCCTCAGCATCTCCATTTCAGCCGGCCCCTCCATTTCGAAAAGCCTACAAGCTGAGCAATCCCCAGGCTGATCAGAAGAGGACCTTTGCTATAAGGGCGAGGGCAATAGGACAGGGAGGGGCTTCCTGGAGAGGAGTTGGCCACCTTAGGCCAGTAACCTGCAAAGGCTTCAGCACAGAGGGGAGTAGGGTAACTTGATCTGGCTCCTGGCTCCACCCAGGTCACTGCTGGGGGTGGGAGGAGAAGGCTGGAGTCACACTCTGTACTTGTTCTAGTCTGTCAAGTCATGCATGATGGAGGTGTGAGGGCACTCCGTAGTGTGACATGCACAAGTGACTCCTGGGAACAGGATGAAGCCAGTAATCTCATAACAGAGCCCAGACCAACACCAAGTTCACTTCTTTGTTGACATCCACCGACATTCTCTCTCTCTCTGAGGACTTGTAACCCTCATGGACCACGCTCTGCCTCACCCAAACAGGGCTCATTTTCCTTCAAACACTCTGGCAGGTGAGATCTTTCCAGATCCCCCCCTTTTTTGTACCACTTCCTTGAACCCCAAGTGCTTGGTGTGGGCATGCAAACATTTGTTGGGAAAAAAATGATGCATGCATTTGAAGAGCAAAGAGGCAGCGAATTAAATCTAATCAGGCTTGATTTTTGCTTTAATAAAACAAAGATAGTGGAGCCATTTAATAAACAGTTGGTTGAACAGCAAAATACATGTGGCATGGGGGAATCAACGACATAACACATATAATTAATACCCACCATTTACTCATCTCCTAAATGGGCTGGCCAATGTCCAGCAGACTTTTTCACACTGATGGAAAGGTCCAGTACCCACAGTAGCTACTAGCTATTTGTGTGGACTTCTGAGCATTGAAATGTGGCTAATATGACTCAGGTACCAAGTTTACTAACTTTAATTAAATTAAATCTGAACAGCAAAAGTGGCCACGACTAATGTATTGGTCAGTACCCTTTATAATACTATAACCGGAGCTACTGCTTAACCCGTCATTTCCTTGCTTTTGCTTCTGTCTCCTGCTAAAGTCCTCTCTCCATTAATAGAACGCTTCAGAGGGCTGGCACTGTGGCTCGAGGGCTACTTCTCTACCTGCAAGTGCTGGCATCTCATAGAAGCACCAGTTAATGTCCCATCTAGCTCCGTGGTTATGGTCTAGGAAGGCAATAGAGGATGGCCCAAGTTGTTGGGACCCTGCATCACGTGGGGGACCCTTCATCTATGTGGGAGACCTAGAAGAAGCTCCTGGCTCCTGGCTTCAAATCAGCTGAGCTCTGGCCATTGAGGCCATTTGAAGAGTAAACCAAGGGATGGAAGATCTTTCTGTTTCTCTTTCTTTCTGCAACTGTGCCTTTCCAATAAAAAGACTTTTTTTTTTTTTTTTTTTTTTTAAGGAGACAGAGAGAAAGCTGTGCTGGCACTGTAGCATAGCAGGTAAAGCCATCGCCTGCTGTGTTAGCATCCCGTATGGGTGCAGGTTTGAATCCCAGGTATTCCATTTCCAATCCACCTCCCTGCTAATGCATCTGGAAAAGTAGTGGCCTGTGCACACATGTAGGATGCTGGGATGAAGCTCCTGGCTCCTGGCTTTTGCCACTGCATGTATTTGGGGAGTGAACCAGCAGATGGAAGATCTATCTCTGTAACTGCTTTTCAAATAAATAAGTAAATCTTAAAAAAGAGAGAGAAGGAGGGCTTTAGAAAGGTCAACCAACCTCTATAATTTCCCTATCTAAAATTCTCTATTGGCTGCCTGTTATCCTTAGCCTAACACCCACATGTTTTATCCTTCAGAATGACCCACCTTCCCCTCTCACTTCATTCTCACACTTAACAGAATCATTTCCGTCTATTGCTGGGCCACCATTCCCAGCTTCAAGACTTCTCTATTCCTCATATGAAATGCTCTTCCCAAGCTCTCTGCCTGGCTGACTCAGTCTACCTCCTTAGAAAGGATCTCTCCTTGCCACACCGTCTCAAGCAGCAGCCCTCGCCCCCTCTCACCACTGCCCATCTCATCACTGTTGATTACTTTCACATCCTTCATGTCACCAATCTTTATTGTTATTAAATAAAGAGTGTCATGATCTTTATTTCTGTGTTTGACTAGTCAGGCCCACATAAATGCAGAGACTCTTGTCTGCTGCAATACTGCTAGCACTTAGAACAGTGCCTGGCATGCAGCAGGTGCCCAACAAATATCTGTGCTAGATTTCAGTCATTCGACCTTGTTGATAATTTGTATTTTGTGTAATTGCTGTTTGGATGCTTTTAGGTTTTGGCAGGATTTAGCGATGGCTTCTGACATATGAACTAAAGAAAACAAGCCTGGAAGCTGGCATTGCGGTACAATTGCATCTCAAACGGACACGGGTTCTGGCTGTGCCATTCCCAATCCAGCTTCCTGCGTATGAAGGTGAGAAAGCAACAGAAAACAGCCAAGTACTCGGGCCTTTGTACCTACATGGACACCCCAGAAGGAGTCCCAGGCTCCTGGATTCAGCCTTGTCCAGCCTCCAACCTTTGTGGTCATTTAGGGAGTAAATCATCAGGTAGAGTATCTTCCTCTCTCTGGGCCTGCGGCTGCAGTATAACAGGTAATAAATAGACAATCTTTTTTTTTTTTTAAATGTGTCTTAATTTAGCCTCTTCCTCTCTCTGTAACTCTGTTAAGTAAAAATAACTTAAAAAGTAAAAAGTAAAAAGATTTATTGGGGGACCAATGCAGTGGGGGTAGCAGGTAAATCCTGCATATGCCATGCTGGCATCCTTATGGGTACCAGTTCAAGTCCCAGCTGTTCCACCTCTGATCCAACTCTCTGCTGATAGCCTGGGAAAACAGCAACGGATAGCCTAAGGCCTTGAGCCCCTGAACTCATGTGGGAGACCCGGAGGAAGCTCCTGGCTCCAGGCTTTAGACCACCCTAGCTCTGGTCACTGCAGTCATTCGAGGAGTAACCCAGAGGATAGATTTCTCTTTGTTTTTTTTTTTTTTTTAGATTTATTCATTTTTATTACAAAGTCAGATATACAGAGAGGAAGAGAGACAGAGAGGAAGATCTTCCATCCGATGATTCACTCCCCAAGTGAGCCGCAATGGCCAGTACTGTGCCGATCTGAAGCTGGGAACCAGGAAATTCTTCCGGGGTCTCCCATGCGGGTGCAGGGTCCCAAAGCTTTGGGCCATCCTCAACTGCTTTCCCAGGCCACAAGCAGGGAGCTGGATGGGAAGTGGAGCTTTCGGGATTAGAACCGGCGCCCATATGGGATCCTGGCGCATTCAAGGCGAGGACTTGAGCCACCAGGCCCGATTTCTCTTTGTTTCTAACCCTTTGTGTAACTGTGACTTTCAAAGAGAGACTTGCTTATTTAGTTTTAAAGGCAAAGTTACAGAGAGAGAGAGACAGAGAGACAGAAAGACAAACACATCTTCCATCCACTGGTTCACTCCCCAAATGGTCGCAACAACTAGAGCTGGGCCAATCCGATACTAGGAGCCTGGAGATTCTTCCAAGTCTCCCACATGAGTGCAGGGGCCCAAGCATGTGAGCCTTCTTCCAATGCTTTCCTAGGCACATGATCAGGGAGCTGGACTAGAAGAGGAATAGCCAGGATATGAACCCATATGGGATGCAGTACTATAGGTGGTAGCTTTACCCATTACACCATAAAGCTCACCCCACAAATAAAATCTTTAAGAAGATTTTTTTTTAAAGAATGCAGACTGGATTTATATAGACTCACTTGAGTTTGAGTATCAGCTCTCCCACTTAATGAGCGTGACTGCAAATAAGCAGTTGTTCCTCTCTGTGCCACAGTGTCCTTGTGAGTACACTGCAGGTGGCAATGGGACCCATCTCAAAGGCTTTGGGGAAGACAGGGCATGGAAAAATATATCAAGTTGTGATAACCACAGGCTCCCAACACATACCAATCCACTCCCATACACAGAAATGCTAAGGACACATACGGGAACTGGGGCTAGGGGAGGGTGAAGTGGAGGGTTATTGGGAGCAGATCCAACTAGGTTGCATTTCCTGCTGGTGTGCATAAGGGCCAGGTCTGTGGCAGGCTGAAGTGGCCAGGCCACAGAATCTGTAAGTTCACATAGGACATGGGGCTGAGGACAGAACAGACCAGGCAACTACAATCACCAGTCTGATGTGTGTGACGGACTGAACTGGACTCTGTACTGGCTGGCATATGCAGGAGTCAGGTCTGGAGTCACCCCAGGTGAGGTTTCTTGGGAGACTCCCAAACTAGGCCTCTGGAAGATTATAGGATTTGTGGTCCAACCTTGTTGGGACTGGGCCTGCTCGATTGCTGATGCCTATGCAGGGGACAGCATGCCCAGGAGCTTAATGGGGAAAAGATGGCCAGCTCATATTCGGGCCTGTAGCGGACGTCAAGAGCCATGTCAGAAGATGAAGAATTGAACAGGTTGGACAACTCTCCTGGCTGAGCTCTGGCAGCAAGTGTCTGGGTGAGTGGATGCACTGGGGTGGACCTTGTCGGTCAATGGACCTTGGAAAGATTTTCTTCAACCTTGGAGCAGAGAAACCAACAGCTTCTCAGAACTATCAATACCTCCCAAGGAATACCCTCAGAAAATTCTTCTCCACATCAAGGTTTCTAAGATGACATGAAGTGGACATCCCCCATCCCTGGGGACTGATGCAGTTCGGCAGCTGGAAGTGACCTGCTCTCCCAGAGAAGGGAAGAAAAGGAAAATTGGAAGCATTTGTCTCAACGACCTTCCCCCACACCTTAAGCAGCAATTCTCATGGGCCTGCATCCTTGTCAACTATGTAAACAACATTAAAAAAATTTAAATATATATAGATATATTTTTTTTAAATGCCAAGGAGCTCAGAATCTGTAAGCTGATTGCTTGCAAAAACAGCCTGAGCAGTGCAATCTCTTCCCTCTTGCTGTTCCTTCGTACTTACTAATTTTTCAGCTTTTCCTTGCTAAAGTGCAGAGCCTATCCCCTTAAGATATATAAA